CATTTAGTCTCTCACCATATTCTCTTTTTTATGCTACATAATTATTTCTAATTATTTTTATTAATTGATATTATTTATTTATTATTATTTCCTTAATTATTATTAATTATTAATTACTTACTTTAAATTTACTTAATGTATTTCATTTATTTAATTCATTTATCTAATTTTAAAAGTTTATCTTTAATTATTATATAATTGTTCATATTCTTTATTTTACATTTTTTTTCTAAATAATAAAATGATAGACAAGATGTTACAAATATTGTGCTCCATCGTCATACATTACACAAAGTAGAATACTAGGGGTGTGTATGAGGCGGTTTGGTTCGATTATTGAACAAAACCGAACCATAACCATTACTGTTGGTTAATGCGTTTTGGTACCAGTGGTTATGATTAGTATTGGTTATGGTTAATGTTTTTTTTTTCGGTTAATGGTTAATATTGGTTAACCATAATGTTCAAAAACAATACAAAATGAAAGTATATTGGTATAAAAAATGAAAAAGAATACAAAAAGTATTGGACCAATAATTTTTGTAAGCTTTTGAAATCTTATAATAATAAACTAAAGCATATAACTTTTGTATTTGAATGCAGCCTCCAATCAACTCTGCTAAACGTTTACAAATTGTAGAATTAAGAATTACCAAATTAATCAATTGTCTTAGCGCAATGCGTGATTGCTAATTGCATGTGTCTAAGTGTGTGCAACCGTAGATGGTTTAACTCCTCAATCATGTCTACTGATAAGTGAACATTAATGATTTTTTTTAAAAAAAATTTAATTGCACTTGAATAAGTTGAACGGTATTCTTTTATATATAATGTATAATTTATATATATATTTAAATATAAAGTTATCGGTCCAGTTAATCTATAAAACCATAACAGAACTGTTAGTTATCGGTTAGGTCAAAATACAAACCGAACCATCGGTTTTAAAAATGGTTCAGTTAATATGGTTTGGTTTTATCGTTTAATTTGGTTTTGGTTCGGTTTTTCGGTTATTATGCTCACCCTTATAAAATATCATAGTTTTTACTAGGCCACTTGCAATAATCAATTTCTTTTTATCCTTCCATCCTGATAGTATATTAATTAATCAGATATGAAGCTCTACCATCCAATCTAGTATTTGTTGAAACTTGAAACCATATTATGTGTAAAATAACGCATGGTCTTATAAATGAATAAGGAAATCATAAAATATGTATTATCTATATGTAGTTTCATATTTTTCAAAGACAATATGTTAGGCACATGTGAGTATAGCTGAGGCCATGTGTTAGATTTATTTTTTCACACGCATTTAGCATCGATGCAGGTGGTAGCAAAGAGTTTCTCTTAAAAAGATAAGAAAAATGACCAAAACTTCACCAAAACTTAAACAACCCTTTTATAGTGCATACATAATTATATATCCTAATCATTTGTAACGTTTCATGAATACGTACAACCATTTGTTATTTTATATTGCCAAAAATCCAAACCAAAAAAAATAACGGTAAAGTTTAAGATTATTATCCTACAAACTGAAATTTGATACGCATCTTACGTACATACCATCTTCTATGTAATATAGATACATAGAAACACGGGTGACATGTCAATATGGTAATGAATATATGTTCTTAGCACACACATATCCATGAGGATTTATTAAGAAAATTAAAAATTCATAAACAAAACAAAACATACAGTCTCACACAAGATATATCACCTTTTTCCATATATTTGGCTCACATATTCACTTCACTTAGTTTGGTTAACCTCACCTTCAACCCATGCTTCATTTGAAGTGTTATTGAAGCAATTGGATACACCGTTTGACCTTCCACCAACTCAATGTGATAATGATAAATGATCATAGAAGCCACTATCTTTAGCTGAGTGAAACTCATGTCCTTACCTATACAAATCCTTGGTCCACCATTGAAAGTCGGGAACTTGTAAGATGATTCATGTTTGATCCCTCCTTCCTTTGAAATCCATCTCTCAGGCTTAAACTCCATGCAATCCTCACCCCATATCTTTTCCATCCTTCCCATGCCATAAAAATATAGCAAAATCTTAGTGTTTTGATTAACTTGGTGGCCACTTGGAAGTATATCTGGCTGTAAGGGAGTTTTGTGGTTAAAAGGAACAGGAGGGTAAAGCCTCAAGGCTTCACATAGAGCCCCATGAAGATAAACCAGTTTGCCTAACTCTTTGGAATTCCAGTTCTTTTGATCATCTACTTTCTCCTGCAATAATGTGTGAATCTCCTCTCGGATCTTGTCCTCTACAATTGGATTTTTTGCAATAAGATAGAAAAACCATGAGAGAGCTGTGCTAGTTGTATCTCTCCCAGCACCAATTAGGTTCTTTATGACATCTTTTAAAAACTTGCTAGGATCTTCAAAACTACTGCTTTGGTCTTTAAACTCTCTAACCAAGGATGCCAATCCAAAATGTTCACTTTCTATGTTAGTATTGGACACATGTTGTATTCTAGCTAAGCACTTACACAGGAAGTGATCAAAAGTATTGTTTGCTTCACTTAACTTCTTTTCATTCCCCATTCTAAACAGTTGTTGAAATTTCCAAAAGATTGGAGGTGAAAATAGCCTGCACAACATACTTTCTCCAATATCTGTTAAGGACTTCTCACAAGGAAGGAAAGGAAAATCAAGAGACAAGCTTTTTGGGTCAAAGTCTAAGAGCAAGGTGCATATAGTATCAAAAGTGAACCTTTGGAATATATCCTGCAAATCCATCTCATTGCCTGGTTTGGAAATAGATTCCAATATTGGTAAAAGCCCTCTTTCCATCTTATTCCAGACAATCCCTTCGAAGACACTTTGAAAGTTGGGTTGCCTGAAAAGAGACATGGTGGTTTTGCGTTGGATCTCCCATAAATGTCCATCGACATTAAAGATGCCATCTCCAAAGAAATCAAATATTTCACGGAATTTTGGGCCTTTTGGATAATTAGTAAAGTTCTTGCTCAAAACGTGTTGGATGTCTAATGGGTCTGTGGTAAAAAGCATGTCCATGTTGGTAAACCAAGGTCCTCTCAACATGAAACTACCGCCACTACGATTAATATATATCGCCAAGAAATCATGGATTTTGTTCAAGTTTGTAAGGGCTTGAAACACACCAAGATGCGGCCAATATCTATCGATAAGAGCTTTTACGTATTGAGGTTTGTAATGAAATATTAATAAAGAAAGAAAAATGAGGATGGCCAAAGATTCAAGGAAAGCCATATGAAAATGTAAAGATATACATATGAACTTAAGTGGTACATGAATGATTATATATATATATATATATATATATATATATATATATATATATATATATATATATATATCTATATATATATATATATATATAGGCTTAGGTTATTCTATTCAAAGTAATTATTGTGTTATTGTATGCATAAATGTGGGCCAATCAAATTTACTTATTTTAAGAAAGTGATTAATATATATATTATTGAATTAAATATAATTGAAAAATATCATCTTAATTAATTACAAGGGTAATTTAGTCAATTAATATAGATTTAATAAATGAAAATTGCATTTTTTAAGGGATAATAGATTCTATTAATTTTAAAAATCCGATTTTACGAATTATAATTCTTTTAATTCGGACATTCTGACAGAATATGTTTATGAGTATATTCAAAAATAAAAATATTCTTGAACCATAAATAATAAAAATATTCTTGAACCTATTTCTTGATCATGAATTTAAAAACTTCTTGTAGATTAACAAATTCTTGAAGAATAAATTGAAGAATAAAAACAAAAAATACATTATTTCTTATAGAATACGGGTAACAATTGTTAAGAATTACATTTATTGTTAAAGAATAAAACTAAAAAAACTTTCAAAACGGGAAAGAAAACATCAAAATCTAACAACGACTAATACATTCTAAAAGAATAATGTGACCCGTTTCAATTTTGTGGTCCGTTCTTCAAGCATCAACTTCTGTGATTCCAACAGAATTGGAATTCGTGATTCCATTCCAACATAATTGGAATTCGTGATTCCATTCCAATAGAATTGGAATCTCACCAATACCATTCTGTGATTCCATTTCATTATGGTTTTCAGGACATTACTACACTCAAACCCAAAGGAAAAAGTGTTTCCTTTTCACAATAGATGTTGTCACATGGATTACAGTCAAGAAATACAAGAACAATCTTGTTCTTGCCCTTATGTACCCAGCAAACCAACAAAAAAAAGAGGGCAGTTTCCCATTCGTGTTCTTCCTTCTCCCATTCCTGTGAAAACAACAAACCCAATCAACTCTACAAACACCCATCGATTTTCTGTCAAAAGCAACCCCAAAATATCTAATTTTGTACAACTGAAATGGTGTTCCCTTTACCCTTTCTGAATTGAACTAATGTGCACTCCTTTCTTCACTGCTAGCCTCGGACCACCCAAACACCAGCTGTTCCCTCTTGTTCTTCCTTCTTCCTTCTTTCCTGTCAAACAATCAAACCCATAACCTGATAAAAATTAATAACTTATCACCAATGCTTGATTCACAATTGTATAAAAAGATCATAGTTCACAATTGTATAAAGAGATCATAGAGAAACCTGATCAAATATCTATCCTTTGCTGAATTCGTTCAAATGCCTCCTTCCTCTCTCTCGTTTCTGACCTGCTCACCGGGAAACATAGGAGCAACCGAAGTTGCTGCCTCCCCCAACACCACCTTGCACGGTCACCACCCTACCACCATTCCACCCCTGTCGCTTCTTGTTTAGGTGACCAAGCCTCAACTCAAACATTTGCAGATTCCCTCTCATTTCCAGTCAAAAACAAGCTATTTTGTTCCATTTCTGTTGAAATCAAAGCCAAGGATCCAAAATAGAAAGAAGATAGAGACAAGGAATTACCGGAGCAAATAACCCCTACTGTTGCCTTCGTCTTTCATTCCTGATCAACCAAAGAAGTCGACCCAAATCAGAGATGAAGGCATGCCGGGGATCGACTGCCCTTTTTTCTCGCCGACCGAGCAGATAACCCCTACTGTTGCCTTCGTCTTTCATCCCTGTGTCTGGTTTGACTGTTTTACCCTCTTCGTTGAAGATGAAGAGGTTTTCCCCATCGATTATTTTTGGATGATCAGTGAGGGTTTCCGAACACGATCTGAAAGCGTCAATACCATGTAGGATACTAGGGCTTTATCGGATGGGAGATTGAAGAGACACGCTTATTTATTTAGGTTATAAGTCAATACCATGATTATAGAGATTATTTTTGGAAGTTAGTAAACAAATTACTAAATTACCCTTATTTTTTATTTAATTATTTAATTTTTTATTTAATTATCATTGGCCCACATTGATGCATACAATAACACAATAATTACTTTAAACACCTGAATATATATATATATATATATATATATATATATATATATATATATATATATATATATATATAAAAGAGACATTTATTATTTCACCACATCGATTTGAAACTTCCATTACTTTTCAATTTTTTTCTAATAATGATTATAAGTTGGTTAATTAATGTTATATAAGTGAAAAACCTAAATTAACTAAACTTTAATATTAAAATAACATCTCTTGCTTCTACTTATAAAACTTATATCTTTGACTTTTAACATATTATACTAAACTTATTAGTTTTGGATATTTTGTATATAAACCGTTGTCATTTAAAGTCTTAATTTTTGAATAATTTTTATAAAATACTTAAATTGTTAATTAAATATAATGTTAAAAGGTTAACTTAAATCAGAATTTTAATTAAACTTTAAAAGAAAATCCAAAGACTTTTTTTGTAAATAGTTACAAGTTATAAATTGTATTGTTAAATGCAAAACTTAAATTGTAACCCTATATTAACTAAAAAATTTCCTAATTTTTTTTATAATCATTGAGAGTCTCCAAATAAGTAGCTTATAAAAACTCTTACAACAACAATAGTTAAAAGTAATATTATATAAAAAATTATATTGTTACATTTAAAAACAAAACAATGATTGATGTTTTAAATAATTATAATGATACAAATTAATATGTTAAGAAAATAAATTTTTTAAAAATTAATTAGTCATAATAACAACTATAAATAACATTAAATAATATATTGTATTTAATTTTATTCATGAATAACCTGCGGATAGAGATCATTGATACAATTGAGATTAAATTGTTTTAATAGATGTCTACCTTATCATTAAAAATAATAAATATTTTACATCAACTTAATAGAAGAATTATTATATAAAATTAACAACAATGTCATTGTTATATTTAAAAACATATATAATATATATATATATATATATATATATATATATATATATATATATATATATATATATATATATATTATATATATATATACTATATTATTGTATTATGCATAACACAATTATTCACCTAGTTATATAATTAATTATATGGATTGATGGTAAATATCATGCAATGCCTAACATGCCTAACATGCCAAAATTCGTTTAGTTACACTCATCACATACCATGCATCCTAACATTTACAACTAATTTAATTAGAACTTTCTAGCATGTGTTGAATGTGAGGTTAACCAAATAAGTGAAGTTAATATGTGCCAAACGTAATAGAAAAAATTGAAGATTTACTATGAAATTACTATATATGTTCTATTTCATTTATAAATTTAATATTTCTTTATAAATTCTCATGGATATCTGTGTATTAAGAACATAATATATATATATATATATATTAAGAACATAATATATATATATATATATATATATATATATATTTTGTAGCATCCAGATTTTCAGTATGTATCTTTTCTGGCTTTAATTTACTTAATTCGTTGAAATCTGAAAAACTGAAAATTTAGGATTTTTATCTAGGTGCGCCGGGAAGCCCAAGACCACGGGCTGAACGACCTTTAGGGTTTTTGAGACTATTTATTGCACCTTAACTCCTAGGGTTTGTCCAATCTCGATCTATCTTAGTTCTAGAACGTCCCTTTGGAGAAACTCTAACCTTCTTTGAGTGTTGTGGGATTATCCTCCCTCTGCTTGAACCTCATTTAGTGCTTATTTTGTGTGCTTTAGTGAAGGAATCAAGAAAGGTGGTGTTTAGGAGCTTGAAGCTTGAAGATCTTTACATTCTCAATACTTCTGGACCATTGTAAGTCACAAAGATCCATGCTTTATTGTGTTTCCTTTTTAGATCTAAGAGTATTTGGTGTTTTGGTCCTTAGTTATGAAGATTTGGTCCCTTTATGGCTTGATCTATGGAGTTTGGACAACTCATTGATCTTTGAGTTATGTTCTACTTCACATATGATGTTTAAGTGGTGTTGAGAGTGCATGCAAGATCTCTCTTTACTCCACGCATGAAGAAAAATGGATTCATGGACTTTTTGGAAACTAGGGTTTTGGACCTAGTTGGTTTGGGGTGTTTTAATGGATAAAGTTGGAATCTTTATCCATTAAGACATCATTTAGGTCCATGATTGAGAGTTAGAAATTTGGCCTTAAGAGATTAAGTCGAAAAATAAATATTGGATCAGCAAGACGTCGGGGCGCTTTTTGGGTTTTCTAAGACGCGACTTTTTTTATGCCAAGTCCCAACTATTTTGTCTTGTAGTGTGCATTGGGCGCTTAAGAAAGGTGTGGGTTAACCAAAAGTTTAAATTTTTTTACTAAGTATTTGAAATCTGGAATACAAAACGCCCCCTAGGGCTTGAAGAGGTTAATTAACATTTTTTTTTTACAATTTTAGATGACTCTAACTTCTTACATGTTTTGTTTTGAATTTTCATGAAGGATTATGGAGCGGAAAATGGACCATTTGGTTGGATTTTTGGTTGATTTCAACATCAAATTGTACTTTCAAGTTTAATAAATGTAGATGTTATATATATATATATATATATATATATATATATATATATATATATATATATTACCAACAAGAGTTTCCCTCACAGATTTACTGTTCATTAGAACTTTGATTTATAGTCATTGGATAGTCATACCAGATATTCACTCTAGCCGTTGGATAGCCACAACAGTTTTCACTAGTTGCTTCGTTCTCTTTCTGTGTACGAAAAAAATCTAATGCTCATTTTATTTTGTTTTTTTACAGAACTAAAAATGCCTATTCTAAATCATAAGAAATGTGTAAAGCCCTTTAATATAATATATCACATAAAGATCTCTTGGAAATAACAGCTTTAATTTTGTTCATAGTAAGTTTTACATATTTACATTTTTCCCCTCAAATAATTTTAGTCTGATAGTTTGAATCCATTTAAAGTTAAATTATTAGTATTTGTAAGTTTCAATTTTAATAATTTATTATATTTTAAAGTTACGTTTTTCATCCGTTATATATATATATATATATATATATATATATATATATATATATATATATATATATATATATATTGATAGCTTATTTTATTTTATTATTTTTATTAGTTTATTTTATATTTTTAGATCTTTTTATCATTATTGCATTGTATTTTATTTATTTTCTTTAGTATGGATCGTACCGGGTGCTTTTTATGCTGCATGAGGTATTTTGCAGGGTTTTGGTGCTTATCGTGATTGTGGATTAGAGTGAAGACGGACTTGTGGGCTCTCGAGGCGCTATTGGGCTTGGCGGATCCATAAAAGAAGACTTGGGCCTTAAAGAGTTGAAGACTTGGATATTTTGGGCTTGTAAAGATGGGTCATAAACTTTTAAATTGGACTTGGAGCATCCATCTTTGTAGCTAAATGATGATTGGGTTGTTTAAATCACATGGATATGGAGGGGACCAAAGGAATCTTTGGTAGTGGAAGGGTGGAGTGGAGGAATGAAGGATCAATAGCATTACAACAACATTTGCGCGGGTGAAATTTTCGTCGCGCGGGTACCCGCACAACTGCCCAGTTTGGGCATTTTGGTCATTTGGCTTGCCATTACCTTGAGGGATGAGATCTAGCAGCCATACTTTCGATTTTACACCATTGGAGAGCTGAAGGAGGCGATTTTGAAGCTCAAGAGTCATTTCCTTTCATCTTTCCAAGATATTTGGTAGTTTCTTTATGCAATTAGACTTTTGTGATTGTTGTTCTATTGCCATGAGTGGCTAAACTCTCTATTTTGGTAGACCTTGGCTAAAACCTCTGAATGTTTGTGGGTTTTTGAAGGATTTATGCTTATTTATCATTTATCTTATGTCTATGATTCTAGTTCATATTTCCTATGCTTGTTTAGTGCTTTGATCATGAGCTTGGTACTTTAATAAGCAATTGTTGGTTTATTTCTTTGGTTTAGCATTTAATCATTGAATTTACTTAGAACAAATGATTTATGATGGTAGAAATCATCTCTAACTTATGAATCATAACTCCTTTATGGATGTGTAAGCATTGACATCCTCTAGGAATTGGGGATTTCTTCATTCTTAAGGCTAATCAACTTCTTGGGTTCAATTGCTTCAATTAACCCTTGATCTTGATTAAGAAGGTGTGTTGTGGGCTTTCCCAACCTCCATACTACCTATAAGAAATCTTGGCATATCATGCTTCATGATTGCTATAACCAATTTGGGATGAATGATAAGCTTCATGTTAAATCCTAATGATAAACACACAAATGTTCATTGTGTTGAATTGCCTTGGTTTACCAATTCTCTCCAATATTTGAGCATCTCACTTTCTTGCTTAATTGCTAGTTTTTAGTTATTTAAGTATTTTTAGTTTTCAAGCAATCATAACACCCCCCCCCCTTTTAGTTTAATTGTAGTGAGTTAGTTTATTTTCACTAGTTCTATTAGATTGCATTGGTGATTGAATACAACCATTTCCCCGAGGATCGATACCCCTTTTTACCATTATATTACGTTTTATTTGCAAACAAAGGGTGTAATTTGCTTGGTTGACTTGACATCCAACCAAGTTTTGGCGCCGTTGCCGGGGAAATTGGTTATTGTTATTTGATTGTTTATGCCTAGGTCTACAAGAACCGGTGAACTACTCTACAATCCGGAAATTGAAAAAGAAGCAAAAAGGTTGAAAAAGTTAGCCAAACAAGCAAAGCTACAACAACTCGTTCAAGCTTCTTCCTCTCCTCCACTAATCAACATAGAAGATCAAGTTCATACTTCAAGTGATACCGACACCGAGCCGAATTCTGCAATTGTTGGTCAATCCTTTGAAGATATTCCGTTTGAAAACTACATAGCCATGAATCAAACTCCACCTCACAATCCCAACCCAAACCCAAACAATCAAGATGCCAAGACAACAACAACAAGAACCTCTCATTGATATGCCACCTTGGAATCAATCCCCTCCTCAACACCAACCCAATTATCAACCTACACAACCACACAACCAACAATTCCACCAAAACAAACAACCTCAAACCAATGCTTTTCATGTTTAACAACAAGTACATTACCCAAATCAACCCAATTACCAACAATCTCCAATGTACCAAAACCCGATGTACCCACAACCACAACCTCCCTACAACCAATACCCAAACTACCAACCTTATCCACCACCAATGTACAATCACAACCAATACCCATACCCACCTTACCAACAACAACCCAATTACATGCAACAATATCCCAATCACCCCTTTCCACCCAATCCCCCTCAAGAATTGACACTTAGACAAATGATGGAGACGGGTGTTACTCATACACCTCTTGCTATTGTTTATCCAGCAAACCGCCGAGGAATTAAATTGAAGTCAAGTTTCATACATCAACTTACCAAGTTCCATGGATTGGATAGAGAAGATCCTCAAAAACATTTGAAGTCTTTTCATATGATATGTGTTAGCATGTTGCCCGAAAATGTGACATTGGATGATTTCAAGTTAACCGCCTTCCCGCTGACCTTGGAAGATAAAGCTAGAGAGTGGTTATTCAACTTACCACCAGGATCTATTCATACATGGGAAGAGTTACTCAAAGCCTTCAATAGCAAGTTCTATCCCACCTCCCGAATTTCAAGCCAAAGAAGTGACATTTTGGGGATTCGTCAAGGGGAGAATGAGACTTTTCATGATTTTTGGGAGCGATTCAACAATTTGTGTACAAGTTGCCCTCAACACAATATACCCGAACAATTACTTCTTCAACAATTTTATGAGGGTATGAATGAAAACGATCGAAGGATGATTGATGCTTCAAGTGGTGGTGATATCTTTAACAAGACACCTCAAGAGATAAGATCACTTTTTTGGAACCATTTCTCAAAATCAAAGGAACTTTGGGACCCGAAATGAAATGAAGAGAAATTCTCCACAAGTGGTTGGTGAAGTTAGCAACACTCAACACTTGGAATCAAAGCTCTTGGATTTGACTAATGTGTTAAGTCAAATGGTGGTGGGAAGTGGTCAACAATTGATGGTATGTGGTATTTGTGCCATGACGAGGCATTATACGGATAAATGCCCCATACTTGGAAGTGAACCGGAGGATGTGAATGCAATGGGAGGATATCAAGGTCAACCAAGACCCATGGGATTTCAAAACAACTTCAATCCAAATTGGCGGAATAACCCATACACACCAAAGCAAAATCCACCAAACATTTTGATGAAACCCCAACATCTACAATATCCTTCCCAAAAACCTCCATATCCACAAACTTATTATACCCCTCAAAATTACCAACAACCTCCACAACACGGCCAATCAAGTGGTAACCATCAAATGAGCCTTCAAGAACTTGTTACTTCTCTTGCTCAAAGCCAAACCCAATTTCAACAAGATACCAAGAACACTTTCTCCAACATTCAAGCACAGTGGAGACTTGGCTACCGCTCTCAACAAGATAGAACAAAGGGGTAAACTTCCATCTCAAACCGAGAAGAATCCCAATGTGAGTGCAATCACCTTGAGAAATGGGAAAACACTTGGAGAGAGCAACCCTAAAAGAGTTTCAAGAGAAGAAGAAGATGAGGTTATTGTTGTTGAGCCTCCGAAGGTTGAAACTACTCCAAAGGACCCGATTATGCCAACCAATGATCAACCCGACTCTTCCAACAAGAACATCACGCCATTGGTCATACCACCACCCTTCCCTTCCCGGTTAGCCTTTTCCAAGAAGATAGAGGAAGAAAATGAATTCTTTGAAATTTTCCGCAAGGTCCAAATCAACATTCCACTATTGAATGCTATTAATCAAATTCCAAGTTATGCAAAATTCCTCAAGGATTTGTGAACCAATAAGAGGAAATTCAAAGCGAATGAAAAGATTCAAGTCAATGCAAACGTGTCTGCGGTTATCCAAAAGAATTTACCTCCCAAATGCAAGGATCCGAGAATATTTGCTATCCCTTGTACCATTGGTGATTTGCATGTGAAAAGTGTCATGTTAGATCTTGGAGCCTCGATCAATATGATGCCATACTCGGTTTTTCAATCTCTCAATGTTGGACCTTTGGAAGTAACCGGAGTAATCATTCAATTAGCGGACAAGTCAAGTGTGTCTCCAAGAGGAGTGTTGGAGGATGTGTTAGTACAAGTTAATCAACTTGTTTTTCCCTTGGATTTTTATGTCATTGATATTGAAGAGAAGACTCCTTCCAAATCATCTATGATCCTCCTTGGAAGACCTTTCATGAATACCGCTCACACGATCATTGATGTCCATAAAGGGAAAATTACTATGGAGTTTGATGGAGAGATCATTCACTTCAACATCTTTGAAGCAATGAAGTACCCTAGCAACATGTCGCCATTGTATCGGGTTGATGTGATTGAGCCAATAAACGGGATAAGCCCTAAAGTATGCACACACAAGATTCTTATGGAAGATTATTGCAAGCCTAAGAGAGAGGCTCAAAGAAGATTGAATCCTCCAATGATGGAAGTGGTCAAGAAGAAGATAACTAAAAGGTTTAAAAGGTGCAAAGAGAAGACAAAAGCGTTTCATGACAAGCACATAACCCAAAAGCACTTTGTTTTGGGTCAAAAAGTTCTTCTTTATCATTCGCGTTTGAAGTTATTCCCGGGAAAATTGCGATCTCGATGGCACGGACCTTTCATTGTTTTAAAAGTGTTTGATCATGGTGCGGTTGAAATCAAGAGTTTGGAAACGAATCAAATCTTCAAAGTGAATGGAAACTGTTTAAAACCATTTTATGAAGGCTTTGACACGGGAGAATTCGACAACGTAACATTGGAAATCCCGATTTATGAAGATTGACGGAAGCGGGGCTATGTCTTGGCAAAGACGTTAAATAAATGCATTGTAAATAAATAATCTTGCTTGAAGTTTTGGTGTTTCTAAGCTTGAAATTGGTCAAAAATAAGCATCTTGAAGTCTAGCAATGATCTTGGTAAAGTTTGCAAATAATGTCAAAATCTGCAACTTACGCGGGTACCCGCACAAACGTTGCGCGACCCAACCTTACCCGCGCAAAATCCGAGCTCAAAATTACCCCCACACGAGTTGTAAACTGATGTGCGCGCGCGGCTGCTCTCCACCCGAACAAAGTTTTCGAGGGTACCCGCGCAAATCTTGCAAGACTGCCCCCACCCGCGCAAACCCGAGCTCCAAAATTCCTCCAACACGAGGTGTATTCTGATGTCTGCGCGCGGCCGGT